GAAACTCTGCGTAAGCTGCATACATGGCGTTCAAAAAGAAACGTTTGGAGTCGCACATTCCTTCGTTTTTATAAGGCACGGGGCGAAAAAGCAGAACGCTCGTCGCGGACGGATAGGCGATAAAGGCGTTTATCGTTAAACTGTTTTGAGTTTCCATGGGAACTGAAATTTTGTTTAGTTTTGTAAAAAAGGCTGCCAGATTTTTCTGATCAATTTAGTGGACTCGAGTGTAAACCCGTAAATTAATTTGGCTCGTGTAAAAATGAGCGATCCGAAAAAATAGACTTCAATTCTTGGGGCTAACACTGCCAAACGAGTTCGTTCAGTAAGAAGTTTAGATCCATCAGCTTACATCGGTGACATTTTCGGGGATCTATGACTTCCGCAAGAGGAAATCCAGCCGTCCTCTCTTTAACACCATCAATGGTGGCAGAAAAACGATTGGCAACTTTTTAGAAAGAGAAATATGCGATCCCAATCTCCATTGTTGTCGTCAGAGGATGACCAGGATTTGGTGAATTTTAATTTTGGAACGCAGGAAGCAGCAACAAAACAAGATCATCCACCAGTGCAGGAGGTTGTTGAGCCTCTGCAAGCTCCTGTGTCCAGAGCAGCAACTGCGCGTTTTCGCGCGCCGCGTCATCCACCAGCAGAGAATGTTGTTGAGCCTCTGCAAGCTCCTGTCTCCAGAGCAGTGGCTGCGTCTTCTTGCGTACCGCGTCATCCAGTAATCGAGGTAGCAAACGAGCAACTTCAAGCTCTAGAGTATTAGGATGGTAAAGAAAACTACATTGTCTACTATAACTTAAATTTAGAAAAAAATTATTTGGTGCAATCAAACGAAGTGAGGTTTAGTGATAACTAATATGTCATGAGTTACCTTTCATCAATTAATGAAGATCATGGAAATATGTGGGAAAATTTAGATAAAAAAATACACAGTGCGTGTCAAAATTGTTATTCGAACGCCCAATCATGAGACGAATCTATGAATAGGTTAGTGAATGTCATAGAGAGAACCTTAGCAGCAAGTAACAGAAATTCTTTATTCAATGATAAAGGCGCTAAATTTATCAATAGAATGACTTCAGCATGATATTCACCTAAATTATCGGGGGATTCTTTTGATTGGGAACTATTTTAACAAACATTTGAATCGTCAACTAAGTTACGAGGTTAGTCTGACAAAGAAACTGTAACGCGATTATTTAAAGCTCTTTCTGGTAAGGCCTATGATGCAGCTAAAATTTTATTTGCATCAGGAAACGCGCAAGAAATCATGAAAACTCTAGAAATGAAATTTGAAAATAAAAAATTAATTATTGAAAAAATTATAAAAGAAATTTATAATTTACTAGAGATAGAATTAAATGAAATTATATTGTAAGAATTCGCTACTTGATTAAGAAATGCCGGAAGGGATTAAAATATTTTGACGTAGACAGATATTTACACATTCCAGATCTTGCAAACGAACGTTACAAATCTTACGAAAATTATCTCGTTCTTTGTTTGATTTGCGACATAAGAAAATTCAGAAAAAAGCGAGTTAGAAAACATTACTGAATCTGTTTTTACAGAGGCGGAAATGTTTGTAAAAACAGGTGTAATTAATGTTCGTTTAAATAAAATGAACTCACATGGAGCGGAAAAGAGTAGTAGGCACTCCCGTTCTGAACAAGTGTCGGTTTCAACTGCAAGCGTAAACAATACAAGTTTTAAAAAACGCAAAAATAATGCAGTTTAAGTAGCAAATTGTATATATTGTCGAAGAAAAAATCATTTTATTAAAAAGTGCAATGATTCCAAAAAAATTCCAATGCCACAGCGCTGGAAGTTTGCAAAGGCTAATCAATTATGCTACATCTGTCTTAACCCTGGTCATTCGAATAGCGAATGCAAAGACAAATTTCGATGCGAACAATGCGGTCGCAATCATAATTTTTTATTACATTTCATTCCAAAAAATAAAGGGCTAAACAATGAAATTGTTCTTATTCACACTAATAAATCTTTGGAAACTCGTAATTCTAAGGTAGATGCATTTTAATCAATTAATGCATCTAGTTGACTGGGAACAGGAACAATTTTGAAAACAATTCCAATCATCATAAGAGGAAAAGAAAAATCGAAGCAAATCTTAGCCTTGATAAATAACGAATCTCAGGCGGCTATAATTGATGCATAGTTGGGCAAGTAACTCAAGAGAGGTTTTATTAGGTTTAAATAAAATTACGAACTCAGAAAATTTAATTAAAATACATTCAAATTACAACATTACTGAAAAGGTTTTAGGCCTAAAGAGAAATAACCAAGATAATAAATTGTCTTTTGATGTTAACAGTAATAAAATTGTAATTGAAATTTTTCAAGGAACGAGAAAGCCCATAAAAAGAGAGTTCTTGAGCACTATTATATCGGTCTTTGATCCTTTGGGCTTTTCAACTCCACTTATAATTCAGTCAAGAATTTCGTTACAAGAAATTTGGCGTAGTAAGGTAAAATGGGATCAACAATTGCGCGATTCAGAATTTATAAAATGGAAACATTGGCTTAACGCTTTAGAAAAAGTAAAAACTTGTCAAATAAATCGATGTTATTATATAAAAGTTTGTCAAGTTCAGGAAGCTTAGCTTCATATTTTCTGTGACGCAAGTTTGAAGGCCTTCGCCTCCGTTGTGTACGGGCGATTCAATTTAACCAATAACTCTTATCATGTTTCTTTCATAATGTCACAAAGTAGAGTCGTTCCGTTAAATCAAGATAATTCAAAAAAATACTGTTACGATACCATGATTAGAATTGCAATTATCATCTAAAAATCTCCATTTTGAGTATATCAAAATGCTGCCAGACATCACCAAGTTGTTAGTAAAATCAGGACATATTCATTAAAAAACGTTTTAGTGTTATACCCAGTATCAACCTGATACTACGGGTTACAGTAGTATCTTACGTCATGCATGTGATTGTGGAAATCGTTTAAAAACTATTTGGGGCTGTTTCTACCTTACTGCTTCTATATACTGTCTGTCAAATGCTAGATATAAATCTAAAATTATTCAACTAGTAAGAGTACTGACTGAAATGTTTGTAAGACAATTAATTAAAACAGTAAATAATGATATCGGTAAAGGCCTAAATATAAAGCAATAATTGAATATTATGTAACAACAAAATAAGTGTAACATAGACATTAGATTAAAAGTTTGCTACGAGGAAACATGACTCACAGAATGAAAGGATGAAGCTCTAGACGACGACGAAACGAGCTGTTTGAGCTAGCCTTGAAAAATAAAGTAAACCAAGTTAACTTTTCGTAGTCAATAAAATTGCCTCGACTCAAAGAGGAGTTGCACTAACTCACTGACGACGATTCAGCAGTGATAAAGAGGCTATCCTGATTGTGACATAATGCGTTGCAAGCTTAACAAGAGAGTTTTGAAGTGACTATGTGGGAGCGTCCTTCGATTTCATAGGTCTGTTAGCAAGAAATGAAAGCCGAGACGAACATGCGAGCTCGCCAGCAATGAGACTCGGCTCTTCAAACCGGATAGCCGGAGAGGGAGCACCCACACTTTCCGTAGTAAGTATATTTCGAGTTATCCGAGTCAATTGCCAAGTGTGTGTGCCCCTACTACCCCAGACTTCCATCTTCCCGTGCCAACGTTAAAGGTTGTGTTATGCCGATCACAACAGCCTTCTCTCACAATATTTACTTTTAAGTGAACAATCTCTTAACTATAGATTTTTTATCTGGATTTTTAAATATTTTTTATCCATTTAAAACTCTTAATTCTTGTGTAGTTAATTCTAGTAAGGGAGCTTATGTATAGAATTAAAAGTCAATTTGTAGTAACACAATGAATTAAAGTGTAGGTATTTGATTTTTCCTTCATTAGATGTTGACGGATTATAAATTTTAAAAAATCTTTGTTACTAAGTTTTTTACTGTGTTTTTTAGTTCGCAATGTTATCTTTGTTCTTTTTTTTTCATATAACTAATTGGCCTGGTAACCAATAGAATCAAGTTCAGTTTTTGATACAAATGTAAGAATGCGTACATACAAAAGTAGCAGTTTTCTCTGATTTCTCTTGAATAAAATTAGTTTTATACACATTTTGAAGTTTTTTAGATTATATTGTATCTTTAACTTTATGACATTTCTGTACGTCTTTTGCGTTACTGTATATAAGTTGTTTTAAAGATAATGACAATTTGACCTTACACGAGGTACTATTTACATGTTTATTTAACTTTGACTTTTCACCACCTGTTAACAAATCTGCTGTAACGTTGTATATTATTATATCTATTTTCAAAGCTCATTAGATAACCAAACCGTAGTATAAGTTCTGTATCACCATACTTTTTCTCTTTAGAACTATCAAAGTATGATTTAAGAGTTTTTTTCTTTTTTTTTGTTTTCATTTTATCTAATTATGTAGTTATACTTTAAAGGTAAATCGATTTCTGCGACTTTTAATAATTTTGATGTCATACAGTTTAGCATAATCATAATTTTGTCTTAGTAATAAGTCGTTTTGATAAAGAAAAAAAAAAAAAAAAAAAAAATTAATTTTTTAATGCTTAAATTAAAAAAATCTCCATGTTACTAAAATGAAGTAGCGATGAGCTAGTTTACGTAAATAAACTAAATATCTAAGTCCTTTCATTTTTTAAGTGCATACAAAAAAATTCATATTTAAGGTTAACCTAAGAAGTTTGGATGAGGGACTTTTAAGTATCCTTAGTTGAATTGTGCCGGAATGTTGAGATTTTCTGTTACTGTCAAGGGTGTCACAAACTTCTAATGTTTAAGAACAGTACTCAAGATAAATGAAAATTTTCTTAAAAAGCATGAAAGTACATACAAGTAATAGGTATATTTGCATGTTGTATCTTTCTTTGATTAGGAAAATTACAGAAGAAAAAAGTGAGAATTATTTTTGAAGCAACTTATGTATGATGCAAATGTTATTGACTTTGTATGTTTCAGAATGTGGTGGACCATAACTGGTACTTTTGGAACCATCTTACCAATAGACTGGAGTAAGTCTTGCTCAAGAAAAATGCATGTTCCAGCATTAAATCTTAAAAAAACTTCAAAATCATGTTACAGGTTAGACTTATATAATTTAATTTTTCTTTGCTCTCTTAAACATCTTATATTATAAAAAACTTAATTGTACACCAAACATGATTTAATTAAAAAGAAAAAACATAAGTCCATGTGCTCACTGAGCCCAACATAATTTAAAACCGTATAAACTAGATTCATTCTTTATCTAACTTTATTGTTAGACATGTAAAATGAATAACGCTATTAAATAATAATTTTTATTTTTAGAAAGTCAGCAATATCTGTTTTTTGTATTTAAACTTCGTTTACAAGTTGGATAAAGGGATGACTCAGTTAATATCTGAGCAATTAAAATACAAAACTTTATTACAGTGAGCTGAACTGATAGATTACAATAAGTGCACCTCTTTCCCTGTTAAACTGCTAGAACATGACTGACTGCGTCGTGAAAGTCTAATACAAAGTTAGAGGGCGTGCGTTAGATTCAAATAAGATACATAACATTTCTTTTCCTTCTTCCTAATGTGGGTACAGTTTCATATAAAAAAAAAAAAGAAAAATGGATGATTAAAGTATAACATTAATTAAAAATTTGAGGAGAACCGATGAACAGCTTTTCGCTCTCTAGTAGATCTTCGTAAAACAGGGCCGTTGGTATCTCCTTGAGTTGGGTTGTATCTGGATGGCGATTGATCGGGCCGAGAGCCAGACGTAGATGAGCTTATGCTACCTCCCGGCATTCTTCGGTCATGAACGACTGGCGATGTAATTTCATTTAAAGGTAGCGGTGTATGCCTACCCGTTGTTCCTGAGCTATGAGGAGATGGCAAGGGCGGTGACGGTACGTCTCGTAAATTTTCGTAGCAACGAATGCGACGCTATTGCTGTGCTGGATCGTTATGGATTGTTACTTCGTTTCCAAAAGCACAGATTTGATCAACGTGCCGTTTAAATTTTCTCCCTTGGTAGTCAATCTCGTAGTGTAAGCTGCCTAAACGAGTAACAATCTGGCCGGGAATCCATTTATCAATTCGACGGTTGCCCGATAAAAAATATACTTGCTGTAGTAGCTAACTTTTGTCCGTCGTCTTCTTGTTATCGGGTTCTTCAATTTTTCTTTCCTCTGGCTTTACGAGATCTAGGTGCGTTCTGATGTTGCGACCTAAAAAGAGTTCAGCTGGTGGTTGCCCTGTAGTTGAGTGAGGCGCTTTCCTGTATTGCCGAAGAAATTCGTTGATATGCTGCTTCAGAGTATTCGGTGCGGTGCTCATTTTTTGCAATGCGTTCTTGTACCTTTGATTCAAATAAGATACATGACACTGTTGCACTTGAATAACACGTAAGTCAGTTTCCAGTAGCTTAGTTATGATTTCTTAGTCAACTTTAGAGAGTCATTTCGTCATTGTAAAACAATTAATAGTTGGCCAAATAATCTTCTTACCCCATTTATTTTAACGTTTAAATGTAAAGTTGTTAGAATTTTAGCGATCTTATAAGGTATATTTACTACAATTTTACAAGTCGCACAAAATGAACGCACATGTATGTGTATGGCTAATATCACTAACGCGCCGTACTGATAAGTTCAACTTATGGTCTAAAACAAAATGAGTTCAATTGTTTTTCTTTAATTCCTTGTTTCTTTCTGATTGCCCAACATATGTGCACTACGAGGTGTTGTACACATGCGTGCATAATGTATTGTATGTGAAACTGAAGTTAATCTACATAATGAAATCGATAAAATTTGTTCCTTACACCTGTACCGAAAGTTCGTTCTATCTGACCCCATTTCGTGCTAGAAAAGCCTCATCAGTTCTGCTTTATGTGCGTAGAACTAAGTGCGCAGGTATATATAGTTATATATCATGTGACGAGCAGCAGCAGCAGCAGCAGCAGCCGTTATATTATATACGTATATATTATATTTATAAAGTTATATTATACTTAAGTAAAACGCCTCTAAATAATATGTGTCACATCATAATGTAATGGTAGTAAACTATTTCATTTCTTAAAAGTTATTTATTTAACATTTGTACAGTAAATAGGCAAATGACGTCGCATTACCATTATGCTGTAGTAAAATATACGATATATTGAATTTTCTGATCAAACACTATTGTTTTGACAGCGCGAGATCATCGATAGTTTCTGCTAAAGTTATTTTTTCTTCGTGCTTTCATGATTAAATAAAAACATCAGCATAAATTGACTTCTAAATAAAATGATCGATTGTCACAAGAGTATGGCCGCTGCATACAGTGCAGAGGTAGAGGTTAAAACAATATGATGAGTGTGAAACAGGGGCGGTGGTTGATATGGGGTCTATGTAGAATTTTCCTCATATGAAATCATCACATATAGAGAATTCCCAATATGGGCAGAACCAAAACCCGCTGAACCCGCAAATCTTAAACCATTGAGAGGTTTCAAAGGTTTATAACTACAAACAAGCTGCTATAATTACTAAACCACACTACTCTAGGTTATCCCATTTATTTCTGAAGATTAAGAGTAAAACATAAACACTAAGATGAGAAATAATAAATAGACGTATAAATGAATGATAGATCTATATTGATGCTAATGTTTCATTTTAATTATGATTCTTTGGTAAACATTGCATTTTTATTTATTACAATTATTAGTCGGAAGATAATGCAAACACATTTGTTCTTTTGGAATTACGTGTAAAAAATCATTCAACAACATTTCAATATTTAACTGTTCAACTACATCGTGATATATGTGTAGTATTGCAATATTATTCAACCTGTCTTGAAGCATTGTAGATCGTATGTAATTTTTTAACCGTTTTAGTGCAGAAAAGATTCGTTTATTTGTACATGATGTACTAGGAATAGTTTGTAACAAGCAAAAAAATCTTACTAACTTGGGTACAAGTCTTCTACACCACTCATTGTCTCGCCAAAAGTGGACTACGTCTATTACAGAACAAATTTCTTTTTCTTTTTTTAAAGTTATACGTAAAAAAACATCTCGATCTCTGATTAGAGAATCTAAATCAAAATCATCCTTATAAAATTGACAAATGTGATCCGCCTCTTTAACTTTTCCAATTCCGAAATCTTCCATTGATCTTAAAAGCTTTACCGAATTTGTGTCAAATCTGTCATGAAGAGATCTAAGTATCTGGTCGTACATCTCAAAAAATTTTTGCCTGTACATATCTTTTGGACTATCAAAATTGTAATTATCAGTAGCAGAATTATTATCAATGTGTTTTGGAATTTTTTTTTTCGTGAAAGCTTTGGTTCATCAATACCAAAATTTCCTATTAGATATATTGATTTTTGACTGTTAGAGATGACTGTTGTTGTGTTTGAAATAAGAAATAGTTACATGTTATCGTTCCTTCTTTGTCTAGCTAAGTGTGATTTTGTACAGATGCTCAGTTCCGACATATGTATGCGGGCTACAGAACTTGCAGGCAGGCTTAAATACGTGCATAAAAATGAGTTAAATGAGCAAGAGAGCGAGTTGCATCTGGCCCCCTCACACAACAAAAATTCGAAATCACAGAAAAATAAGTATTTTCAACCATATTATAAGGTAGCTCAAGTGCAATATATTTTTTCATATTATACCTATTCTTGAACTCATTATGGTCAGCCAATGACAGTTATTTCGTAACGCAGTGGGCATTCATTGTAAACTGACAGTCATGCCAGTCATAAGCTGATCGATACAGTCTGTAGACTATGTCAGCTGTGGCGCTACGTGGCAAAGCCACTAACAAACTCAAAACTTGTGACCTGCGAAAGTTAAACTGTAATATTTACCTAAATTTTTCATTTCTTTACATGTGTAATATTTTTTAACGATTGCGGTAAATATAGAACAGAATAAGAAAATATTGTGTTTCTTCATAAGATATAAATGTAATAATAATAATACTAAATGTTATAATAATAATAATAATTATAATAGTAATAATAACAATAATAATAAATCTATGTACATGCATATACGTTATCGAGCTTCATTGATTTCGTAACGCATTAGGTTGTTGCTTATGGCATCTCTTGCGCCTCCCCCCTGGCTCCGAGAAAATTCCCCATATGGCCATGACCTCAACCGTTGCCCCTGGTGTGAAAAATAAACGTGCAGACGCGCATGCAGACAAACATACATTCAGCAGAGCTGCTATTACTACAATCTTAATGTAAGTACAACGAGGAGTACAAATCATATGAATTTTTGTGTCAAACTTTCGGCAGAGGTGGAAGGAAAAAAAGTATACGTACCACGGCCATAAAGTTAGACTACTATTGACCGTGCATTACCGGCCGAGCCGAAAAGTTGTTAGTAATAGTCCCACTTTTTGGCCTAGGTTTGTAATATACTATAAAAACTTTACATTTAAAAAATAAAATTATTCATCTATTCTATAGCTCCGTACTGCAGATCTACACGAATCTTTATATTTTTACTTTTTCTTCCTCGAAAGCTGAAATATTTTGTGTTATTACTTTATCGTAGAATAAGCTTTAGCATAAATTAAAAATAACGTATTAAAAAAATATGCTAGAAACATATTCTCTTAAGTCCAGAATTAAAGGACAGTACTCTGGTAAAAATTTATTAATGTGTATATGTGTGTGTGTGTGTGATAGATAGTGTTTAATCATTTGTACCTTACAATCCTCTTGCGTAAATTAAATTTAACAAGGCTTATATTTTCTTTTTACCCTGATTGTCTAGTAATTTTCGACACTTATTTTCGTTAGAAAATAATCAAAGTTTCGCTATCCAATCTTTGTTTTCATTTACATTGTATCGATTTAGGGAAGTCAATCGTTTGGATAGAGTTGTTGTGTTTACTATTAGTGTTTTAGCATAATTCAAATTTGGAAATTAAAAAAAATTAGCCAATTTCCTAACGAAATACGTTAACATACATACTAACGAAACATGTACAAAAGGTCTTCTTATTGCTGTGTAAATGATTGATTTACAATTTATCCAAGGTGGTTTTTCATCATTCCAATGACAGTATGATCAGAGAAAAACAA